CGGCTGAGTGGGCGGAGCCTAGAGTGCGCGTGCGGGGAGCGTAGGGCCGTGGCGCGCGGCAGGCACGATCTGGGACTCTTTGAGATGTTACAAATAGAGTCGCACGAAGTCGCGACATACATCTTTAGCTACCCGGCAAGAATTGTTGGAGCTTGGTTGGGAATTGTTGTAGCATCTGCCGTATTGCCCTGATCTGCGCCATCTGATTACCACTTATTTCCATCGTTGCAGAGCTACATGAATGAGAAAATCTTTACCGAAGATAACGATATCAAATCCTACGTAGCCCAGTTTTTTTACTCAAAAAGACCAGAAGTTCGACGAGAGAGGATTCATGAAACTACCAAAAAGATGGCAAAAGGTAATCTAACAAAGTGGAAAATATATCACTGATTGATATTTTTTCATTATGAGAAAATAAAAGTTTTTTTTTGCAACGCTCAAGAATCCCAATTACTTTCCGAACAACCCAATTCTAATATTGAATTCTGAATGCAGTTTACCGCTGAACTACTCAGAACCCCAAAAACAAGTTGTCGGCCCAGCTTCGCCCAAAAACAACTTGCAAGCAAGCTTGTAACTAGGGAATCATTATCGACAAGTTTGATGTAACATTCGATGCAACCATTGAGGAAACCAGGGCAATGCTTACCATGGTACAGTTTTGGGGAAAAAAAAACGCTTGCTGTCAATGGAAGGACAGTCTCGCCACTCTCCAAAAGTCTTAAAAATTTTTGGAAATCTCTCAAATATCGTTTTGAATTAATTTATATGAAAAGAAACCTTTCCATGCACAAACAATATGGTAACTCAGTCCGAACTGCAACAGATAAGTAGCCTGCACTAGAGAAAAGCAAAAAAAAAAGAAATTCTAGGTTTTAGCGAGAAATGGTGTGCTCAACACGCCGAGCAGTTAGTTAAGCGATTGTTCTTAGCAAGTTCAATCAACTGGAGGACCTATGTGTTGGAAGTTTCATAGCTAATATTGAAAATCTGCATTTTTCGAGAATTGGAAAATTGAAACTTGCTGAATAATTTTCGCATCAAAGTGCTCATCATCATCTATTGAACTCATTGGATATGTTCAAAAACCTCCAAAATGTGAACTGCCAGCGTAACGAGCAAAAAAGTAAGGAGATTTCTATGTCTGGTCGTAAATAGCGAGCGGGGCCGAGGCAATTAACAATTTTTTTTTGAAATAATTCGTGACAGCCGCAATAGAAAGGTGTCATCAAGGCACGAATTCTTTGTATTCTGAGGAATTTTTGTTACGATTACGATACCCTTCTTAGATACGGAGCCCAGTCTTGTTGCGGCCAACAAAAATTCGGAGCTTTCAGTTTCGAGGAAAGAAAATGGCTTCCGGTTGGGCAGCACGTTTCTGCGGAGTTGGCGCGCGCATCCCCGTAGCTAATTCGAAGAACCATAGCAGAGAACTGGAGGAATCGCAAGTCAGCGTATGTCGGTTATTCCGGTTTCTGCTGCAGTCCTTCCTAAAATTTGTTTGAGAAAACTGATTCAAAAAGATCTCATTATGGTGTAGCCCCCGAATGGAACTGGACTGCTGTTTGGTTATCCCAACATTTCGTATAATTTATCGTCTCTCCCACTTCTGGGTCCAACATAAAAATCATAAAGGTGAATGTCGGGACTGCTTGTTATTGCAGCGTCGCTGTAACTTGGCCTAAGGTTTTTTACATTTTCTGTCGCATTGGTTGCTCAGTTTCATTTAAGATGTCAGTTTCGAAAATTACTACATGATGTATATGTTGTGGGAGCACCACGAGTGCATGAAAAATAAATAAATAATTGAACCACTTCGCGACAGTACATTCTTCTTATGCAAATCAAGGCCTCCATGGATGTATCTGTCGATAGTACTAGTTCAGCTATGATCCCTTTGCTTGAATGTACCTCTTTCATTCTGCAATATTCTACATGGATTTTCTAGCCTTTCTTCTCAAGAAATTGAGAGAGTTTTAAGCGACAATGAAATTCCTTGTATACATATTTGTTCATGTAGAACCAATTTTTTAGAAAGCTGATGATCTAGGATCATCAGCTTTCTAAAAAATTGGTTCTACATTTGTATTCAAGTGATAATGCGAGAGAAGCCGTTTTTTAGTTAAATTCTATCACCACCATGAATCATTGAAGGGTATATTCTACCTCTCAACATTCGGTAAGATGTGGTTCCGAGTAAAACTGTGAGGACCTTATTAGACGTTACTTTGGGCATCCATTGTAACGCTCTGTTGGCCATGCTACGTTCTCTGCCAAGGTTGACACCCCACATGTCAACACATGCGAGGCTCTTAATCTGGCATCGCCGAGGAATTGAACCCGTGACCTTGTGCGCCGCAACAACAGCAGCTATCCACTCGGCTACACTGCCACTACCCAGCGATCGGAGTTTTCTCCGAGCGCTGTCCAGTGAAGGGAATTTGAATCACGTAAGAGGTTAGTAAGTAGGAGTTGTTTCAGAATAAATGACGACAATGCTACAATTCTCATTTCAATTTTGTTTGGAACGCTGCCACGACTACAATATTGCAAGAACTGAACCAGAACTTGATTTTCGCGCGAACTACGAACCATGCACCCTAGCCACGTACCTCTTTCCGCAGAAAACTCGTTTATTAGTACCCACGCAATATCAGGGTAAGTGCTCACCAATGCAAAGCTCTGGTTCCTCAAAATCGGTTGCTCTCTCTAATAGTGGTTCAAATATTGAATGCAATGGAACTATAATTTTTGAATGGAATAATGTAAATTTTTGAGCTGATCATGTAACTAAGGAAACCTGAGGCCAAGTTATAGCGACAATGTAATATCAAGCAGTCCCAACATTCATCACCTTTATGATTTTTATCTTAGACGCAGAAGTGGGAGGGACGATAAATTATACGAAATATTGTGATAACCTAGCAACAACCCGGTTTCATTTGAAGGCTACCTTTTCCAATCATTTTTTCTGACAAATCTTTGGAAGGACCCGCAGCAGAAAACCGGATTAAGGACTGGATGATCTTCTTTCGGCTTCCTGTTGCGGTCCTTCCGGTTTTTGCTACGGCTCTTCCGAACAACTGCTGCGGTTCTTCAGAACAGCTGCTGCGTCCTCCCGAATAGCTACGGGATGCGGTGACCGGAACCCAATTTCTCACCTCAAGCTCAAAGACGCCGAATTCTTGTTGGGCGCAGAAAAAAAACTGCGCAAGGATTTCACAACGCTCACCCTCTCTCAAGCATTCTGCTGCGGTCCTTCCGACAGTTCGTCGGAGTTGTGTCACACAGTCACAGTATCTTTGCTGCTCAGGTAGTATTAAGGACTGATCCATGTGAACTCATGGGTTAAATTGTTCAAAGTGCTTCGAGCTGCAAAAGTTGAAAAGTTCTCATATGGTTCGCTCTCACGCAAATTATTGACCACCAGTGACTACTATTATATATCACCATTATTACCACGATCACAGCCCTGTTACTAAATGATCTTCAGCACAAGCCTCTCGAGCGAAGGATTCCGTTCGACGAGTTGGTTGCGAAATCGCTCTCTGTCGGAATAGAAACTTGTTATTGTGCAACGCTTGGTTTTAACTATTAATAATTGTGAATAGAACCGACTATACGCCCAAAGGAATCTCGATTGTGGTCATCAACGTCTTTCCTGTGCACATTGATAACAGAGAATGTAAACAAAGCGGGAATTTCTACATGATAGTTAGCAGCAAGTAAACAAATCAATTCATATTCTGAATAGATGCGAATTACGTGGATTTTAAACCGAAATCAAGTTCAGAGGTTCATCATGGTTGATTTCCGAGTCTGAGTCATTTCCAGGATTTCCGAGTCGCAGAGTCTGAATGACTATGTTTTACAGCCTAAATTGTTGTTCTAGATCCTACTAATAAATGTACCAACTATGTAAGTGTTGATGATGGTCTGAAACGCAGTTTCTGATGAGACGATTCCGTTGCTTTTCGCAAACTTATGGGCGTAAATCACTAGTGACTACAATACAGTGTAGTAGTAAATGTTCTGAAGTTGTGGATGAAATCTTATTCTGATAGAAGAAATTCTTCCTGGTTCAAAAGGCGAAATTCGCATTGAAGTGATTTAATGACAAATATATCAGATTTGCCGCTCATTGAGGTTGCTTCCGTCACTCTTTCCACCTGCAGCTCTATGAGTTCCATTCGGGTGCCTATTATACTTGGGAATATTCGCCGATTTTTCAAATATTCGAACTTTTGAATAATTCGAATATTGTCCTATTTCAATTATTCGAAATATGAATAGTTCGAATATTCCACATTTTAGAACTTGCGAATGAATGAATTATTCGAATATCAAGCATTTCGGACTACCCGAATGAATGAATATTTCGAATAATGAAATGTTTCTGGAGGCCGAATGAATGAATATTTTCGACTCGAATATTCGGTCCGAACATGAATGTTTAAAAGTTTCCATCTGTCGTTCAACCTCCACTGGCATTGCAATTAACAATGACTTACGAGAATTTGACATTCTCACGTTGCATTTATGTTTGCGCGTACATAGAGATCTCGGAAGATGTAATCATATCAATATATGATAAGGATGCAAGTAGGAAAGACCAAAGACAAGACCACGAAGTTTTTTTTTTCAATGTGAGTCACGATATGTAGGTTGAAGCTGAAGTAAATGTTCCCATCCCCCTACCAGTGGCGGACGCAGAGAGAGGACGGACGGTTCCCGCTTCAAGAATGAGTTGCCTTTTATTTCAAAAATGCTCAGCGAAATGAATAAAAGCTTTACTTTTACTTGTTTAATATTAAAATTAATATTTTTGTTATTTATTAAGTCCAAAACGTGAGTGATTGTAGTTGTCCCCCCGTGTTCGGCCATTTCAACGTCCGCCACTGCCCTCTACCGGTGCTCTTCCTGACAGTGATCCTTAAATACTGCCATAATCAGCCTCTATAACTCGCACCTGCAAAGGTCAGCCTTGAGACATATCACATTACGATCTGTTAGAGAGGGATGGGCCCATAACGAGCCTCTAAGGCATAGCACGTAAACCACGCGGTACCCTCCTCTCCCCCCATGTCGTAACAGTTCCCGGTTCAAGTAAAACATTGATACGAATCCGATAGCTTTGAGAGATCCAGATGAGTAGCTCGAATATTGGTTTTTTTTTTCAATCGAATGAACGAATTGTTCGAATAATGTATGATTTGAAAAACCCGAATGAATGAATTGTTCGAATAACCCGTTTTCCCGGATTGTCGAATGAATGAATAGTTCGAATTTCTTCCTTTTTTAGGAAA